CCTTCATTGAGGCTGGTAGCAAAATGCCCCTGCAAGGCTAGAGTTTTACTCTGTAGCGATGTAATTACGCAGGTAGCTAATTTCCCTATAAATCTACCAGCCACAGAGCAGGTACTCTCTAAATTACCCATGGACATTTTTAACTGCAAAAATTGCTTTTTTTTTGATTTCATAGGGACAAATACAACGTCCAGCAGTAACAACACATTTCTGACTAGGAAACTCTCTGGCATTCAGTTGCCATAATCGTAACATTTAGCTAATTATTATTTTATTTTTTTTACATTCTGAATGTAAGTCGTAACTGCTGACTGCAGTGGTAGTCACAGGTCTGCAGGACTCTTACCCAGAACCTGAGCTTCTGAAACGAGGAAATGTTTTCATTCATATTTTAAAATTCCATTCATTAACAGGTGTATATGGTTTGACTTCTTCAAAGTATGCTGCAGACACAGCCTAATAAATCTCCATGACACCTCACTGCATCTCCATTTTATAGATGTGGTGATTCGAATATATCCAAGTGAAATGACTTGCCCAAGGCTAATGAAGGAATCAATGTCAGAGACAGGATTAAAAGTAGAAAAATTCCTGGCCCCCAGTCTCATAACCTAACTATGGTCTGCATTTCACTCATATGAAAACAGGAAAGGGAAACACATCTATTTTGAATATTGTGAAAAGTAGTTCATAGCAGATGGGCAGCCTGATGTTATAAAATTGCTTTACCTTGTCATAAAATATCAATAATACACAGGATGTGGTTCTTGTCCAAGACTATAGCAAGGTGTGAACGGCACAGAATGTGTCACTGGTGGCTTGTAGAGCGGCAGAGGTTGCACTGGAAGTGTAAAATGAGCAGTCTTTGAGATGTTTCTCCTGCCCTATTCCTTAAAACCAATTTCTTCCTGTGTACTACACAGCTGGCAGAAGCTGCTTTGAAGCTGACTGATACCAGTTCAGTACTGAACCTGCAGCAAGATGCCTGTTGTGGCACCTCAGAGGTGGAGCAGGAGGTCTGTAATGCCCGTTTCTCAAATACACAGGCAGTGCCCGCTGACGTTTTTTGGTGGGTCTACCCACCTATTTCTTAGATGCTAACATAGAGCTAGGCAGCATCTTCACTGTTGCCAAAATGTAACAGGAAGACAATGCACCTGTCTAGTTGTGTAGAAGAATAAATTAAAAAAAAAAAAAAGGTACACTTGTGTCATTAAATATTGATGAGTAAGATTCATTGACTGAGTTAGAGACAGTAGGATATGGCTTGAAATAAAACCCCAGGAGGGCCACACCCCCTAGTATGCCCAGGGCCATCCCTTTAAAGGTAGGACAATTATAATTAATTGAGCAATCTGACAGAAAGCATACATCCATACACTGGAGCAGAAAGTGACACTGTGCACAGAGCCATCCAGGACACTTGAAGGGTTAATACTGGTTCACTAGACCAAGGACAGTAAATTCTGCCTGTGGCTACCACCAGTCTATTGTATTATTATTGCAGGCTTTAGAAACAGCTTTTAATTTTAACCCTTTCCAACCCTCTCTACCATCTTCTCTTTACATAACTGGCTTTGAATAGAATTGCATGGAATTTTCCTAGTCATACCTTTCAATTATTTCTTTTCACTTTCAGCATATACAATATTGTACAGGAAAAAAAAAAATCCAGAGAATCTGGGCCTTCTTCACCTATCACTTTTAACTCATAAAGACCAAAAACATTGCCAGGAAACAGGGCCCCTTTGGCTCTGTTGTGATCAATCCCCACTATCTGCTGCAAGGATCACTGGAGGATCCCATCCACTATCTGCTGGGAACCATGGTGCGAGTTTCTGGAGTTCTGACAAAGCCACAAACTAAATATAGATAACCCTGTCCCTCTTTCAGTCTTCCTGATGCCTACATATGTTGACCAAACTGCATTTTTAAGTTGATGTCCTGGGAGTTGTTCACGCCTGTAAGAGATGACAAATCAAACACACAGGACCTACTGGTTACCTCTAATGAAAAAATATCTCATTATTGGTAGCCCTTTCAGCAATATGCTGAGCACATCATCAGCCCATAGACAGACTGAAGTGAAACAGCCGATGGAGAAGGGATGACACGAGGTAGTGCGGGTGATAGCAGAGGACTGACTCAGTGACCCGGGAGGTCCTTTCCAATCCTACATTTCCACGTTCATGTGTTCGTATTGAAGTTGATGGGAGACATTTCCACCAACTTCAAAGGGCTTTTATCCAGCCCCAGTTTCATTTCTTTTCAATATATAGATGCAAGAGTAACGTCACGCCATGATTTTCATGAGATGTGCTGATGTACAATCAGTTCTGGGAGAAGCAGAATGAACCCAGGTAAATAAATTGTCCATCCTGAAACACTAAACATGCCAACATCCGAAAAATACATCTCCTTCTATCTAAATTGTGGATAAGTCCAGCAGCATCACAACTGGATTTCCAGTCATCATTAGCCATAATCAATTATGCCAAATAAATATTATCTATTTGTGCTTTTGGCAAGTTACACGGACACGGTGAACAAATAATTTGGTCTGGGGATTGGCTCACCAGGGCTGGTCCAGCAGCAGCAAGGAGTGCCCCAACTTCAGCGTCCCACTGTGAAACCTGCACCCACGGAGCTTAGTGTGGAAGGTTATTTAATGGGTATGGGACAGCACTCATTAGCCAGAGAAGCAAGCCACAAAATGCTCTGGGAAGTGTAGACATCTAATGTGGGTGGCCACAGAAAAAAAGGAGTGAGAAGTTAAGAACTGGGAGGGTGTATAATTACACAGTGTTTTCTTCTCTCTTCTTTTTTTTTTTTTTACCAAACAGGCATTCAGCCTGTTCAATAGAACCACTCCAATATGTTATCTAATGGCTTCATCTTTACTTGTGAGATTCCCCATCTGTGGCCAGACTGTGCCACTGCCTCATTCAGCTGAGCAAGAGAACAACATTCATTCACTCGCTCGGATCTTAGGAGACAGGTCTTGCTCTAGAGCAACAAAAAATGAGCTGCTCCTTACTCAGGTCTGAACCTTTGCACTTAAGCCAGCCTTTGATGAAACTTTCCTCTGGATTTCAACGCTGCTTTTTATAGCCGGGCAGTCTGCTCTCTCCCTCTGGCTGCGTCCCTTTTTTTCTGTTCTTTACAGTGGTATCACTCTGATCTATGTGGTGGTCTCACATTTTCCTCTCGAGGTTTCTGCATCAGCCTTGTTTTCAAAGCCAAATAACACAAGCAATGATTTATAATCTGTAGTTGCTTCGGAAAGATGGATGTTCAGACATAATCAGTCCATTTTGTTATTTTTTCACCTATTATACAGCAGCTGCTTCTCCTGTTTGGATGCTTCTTTACTCTCCTTTTCTTTTTTCTTATCATAATGTACCGTAAAACTTTAACTGATTCATAAAACGTGGAAAATAGTATCATGTCCAGCTTAGTTCTCCTAAACGACAGAGTCACTTCTTCCTACTGGGTTCATGGTGTCTCTGAGGAGGACGCCCCATGGATGGATTCAGCCACCGGGGGCACTAATACAGCCACCTGCTCCAGCTCCTCAGATGTGGTGTGTCTTTCTCATGACCAGGACAGAGAAACGACCCCACTCCATGAGAAAAGGGATGGTCCAGATGCTAAAGACACCTGATACACTTCATGGCTGTATCTGTGTCTTCACACACACCAAAGAGGTGTCAACCTGCTGAAACCTGTCGTGTGTCCTGCAGGTATCATGTCAGACACCCCAGAGTCAGGAAAGAGAAGGGAGAGAGACTGAGGCACACCTGAGCTTCCGCTCATTAAGTACAGGGAGTGCATCTACGAACAGCAGGCGCAGGAATGGGAAATCAGCACTGATTCAGCTCCTCATTGTAATACGATTGTAAGATGGTTTAATCGGTTGTCTTCTACTCCATTCAAGTGCCAGCTTCAAGTCATGGGTGTTAAAGGCCCACAGCCAGCAACAGAGACCTTGGGGTCTTGCCATGGCCTTGCTGATGACATCTGAACAAGCAGGGGAAATCACATGTGACAGGTTGGCAACAAAACAGCTAGTTTTGAGAATAAGGGCTTAGTCCTCACTCCACTGTCATGCTCTGCAGACAGCTAACAGCAATCCCGAGAGACCCTTTTGTGCCTCAAAATGAGCGATGCAAGGACGCTGACAAATGCAGCAGACAACTTGTACATGTTGCAACACTCGATATCCAAAGCAGAAGGGTCTTGCGTGAGGACCGGCGGAGTCTCTTCGTCTCTGAAGCCCCGCGTGTTCCCCGAGCAGCCTGGATCCACAGGTGGCACAGGTCTGATGGAGTCAGATCGAAGCGGAGTTCCCGGACAGCCTGTGTTTGGGTGCAGAGCGGCTCAGACAGACCTGCAGAATTGCTCCAGCTGACTTCATGATTATCTCATCAGCGGCCACATGTCACAGAGGAAACTCAGTCATGGTTTGCCTTAATTTACAAGTGTCATCTCCTACAAGTGGAAAGAGGAGCATGAGAACAGCAAAGCTGAACTGATTTGTTCTGGCACCAGGACTGCAATGTGGCAAGATATACCTATGACTGTCACATACAAATTTAGTAGATAGCATGCTTGCTTTTTATTTGATTTTTAGCAGGTCTCTCCACAATAAATATAAGAGCAGAATGCATAAACAAAACACTTGGCACTTACAGTTTATCTTGGTGACGGAAAATTTGATTGATGAATAATAAGTTCAGAAAGTGGCAAATGCTCAACATAGGGCTAAATAACCTTTTGTTGCCTTTTTTTTTTTTTTTTTTTTCACAGCTCAGTTTCTCTTAGCTTTTACTCTTCCTGCCTTGAAGCTGCTTTGTTCTAGTGCTTCATCAGTTAGTGGGAAAAAAAAAAACTGTCCTATTTGTTTCTTATATATTTTCACTGATCAAGTTGCTTATTGCCAGGGAAAGTCTTGAAGAGAGATCTTCTGAGTGTCACATTGCTTCCTCCTTTCTCTTTCACTTCACTGGGACAGCGCCTGTGAGGCAGACCTTCCTGCTTGCAAAATGGTAATTTTAATCCCAATTATTACGATTACTGCAATACCAAAAGAGGGGAGGGGTGCACACAGGAAAGCAGAGCGAGGTGGCTTGAAGGAAACTCCAGTCGAAGTAGACTATGTTCGTAAAGCACAGAAGAAAACAACTATGGTACAGAGAGGGAAACTGAGGCGCAGAGCCTTACGGTGCATTGTGTCCAGGAGCATACAGGGAAGAGAGGCAAGCTGGGCTGCGCGGCTCCCAGTCCTGTGCCTTAGCAACGAGACCACTCTGCCTCTGCGCGCAGGCTCGGCGAGAAGAAGGGGCAACCTTCTAGGAGGGAAATCCTTGCTGGATTAAGCACTTTGCCTGCTTTTCTCTTCTCACCCCTTACCCCCTTCAAAGCACGGAGGATGGGGAGGGGGCAAGGTGGTGAAACGGCACCCATCCTCCCCCACTCTTCATCCCACCCCACATCCAGCGGGGTATCGGGGCTCCTCAGCAGTCCCCAAAAGCTTGCACCCTCGGCCGAGGAGGAGGGATATGATTTGTAATTGCAATACTTTCATTATGTCTCTTAGTTCTTTGCACACTAATGTCAAGAGCTTTGTCTTTGTAGTGTTATTGGCATTTTTCATCATATTCATGAAGTGTGGGTCAATTTTCTTCAAAAGGCTCACTTCGCCAACTTGCCACAAAGACAGACAGTAATAAATTCTACTAGTGCACAGCGAAGGCTTCGTAGCTGCAAGCAACAATAAAAAGCAATGAGCTGGGTGTCACTAAGTAACTCCAGTTTACACTGCATTTTCTTCTTTTATTGAAAACTCAGAATATGAATTTATTAATGAATACACAGGCCTACTTTGAAGGGGTGTGGGGGGGGTCCGAGTCAATTTATTTGGTATTCACACAGTGTGTGCCTACATTGTATTGTTTCATCATTTTATGGCCAGGCACAGCTTGTTAGGCTGTGGCCCTCCAGAAAAAAGCAGGCTCATATAGCAACACCTTGACGTAGATGTACAGCTGCTTTCACTGTGGCTGTCTCACCTTTAGCCCCGTCTGTCTACTGCCGGCTTTCATTTTCCGCATTCATACATCAATAAGCTTTGCATGCTGACACCTAATTTTGCAGGCTACTTTGGTTATGGAGGCCGTGTTTTGCATATCACTACCCACCCCCTTCTGACATCTACTGCCTTTAAAGAGGGAGAGAATAGAGAGAGCACGAAAGAGGGATTCTTTTCTTCTCAGCCTAATCAGAGATTTCTTTATATTTGTCAAAAGCAGATCTGCCAAATCAACTTTAATTGATTCTTCCACAGTTCTCGTGTATGATTTTTGAAGGACTGGGCTTGTGTTCCAAGACACAGTGTTGTGTTTCAAACAAATATGAGGTTTCTACAGCAAATCAAATTTGGATGCCAATTAGTTAGCATTTTCCATTCCAATTAAATTTGAGACCTTTCTGATTTTGAAAGACTTGTATGTCTATGCATGTGTGTATGTATGTATCCGTGTGCACCTATCTGTATCTATTCTACATATACATAAAGATATATACGTATAAAATATTTAAAGTGCCCTCGGTGCTCTAATAAGCAGGGAGGGGTTACATCCATCCATTTAAATATACATTTTGGAGGATTTTTTTCCACCTTGTTTATTTCACAAGGGCTTACCAGCCCATTCTAACCTGTTATGTGACACCGCAAAGGTTTTTACTTCTCAGTCAGGTGGCTAATGTCATTATATCGTTGACAACTCATAAAATGTTATAATCTAATAGGGCTTTCCCTCCCCACACGCACTCAGTGAAAGCTCATTGTAGCAAAGAAAGGATTAGGGGCAAAAGCAAGATTAATGGTTAAAAAAATGGAAGCAGGCGGAGTCCAGATACAATACTGTAGCTTAAAAACAAATATAATTTGTATATTAAAATGCATCTTTATCTAACTAGATTTACTCTAAATAAGCCAAGCATACTATATAAGGCATTTCCTACTGGATACTGCATATTTCAGCAAAGCCTGTATATTTGTTTTGAATGAATTTTAAAATAATAAACTCCTCAAAAATCAGACTTTAGGCAGACTCATAACAGAGACTAAGACTGAATCCAACGCTACAGTGATGGGAAGGAAACAAAAGCTTGTTTAGATCACCTAGAACTAACCTGCGCAGTCACTGTCAACCATAAAACTATCCATGACAGTACTGTGCTGCGGAGGAGAAATTTTCCTGGCACCTGGGGCTCCGATTGCCACACAAGGCGTAAATGACCGGCCAGTGAGTGTTCCCCTCTCAGGTCCCCAAAAGGACCTCAAGACAGACAGACAACCCAGCTCCAGCAGACGGCAGGAGCAGGCAGACTCCCTCCTGTACTCTTCCAGGGCCTCAATAGCACGGCAGCGAGGAATTCACCCCCAGCAAATCTCAGGTGGGAACAAGCACATGCCTGCCTTTCTTTGGCAAAGAGATTAATTAGTTTGTTCCTGTTATAAAACATAAGTTAAGGAACAAAGACCTGAGCTCAAAAAGGTGAGAAAATCCAGACATACTTCACCGGCAGGGAAAAACAACCAACTTCAGGTAGGTTGGAGCTAGTACACCCTGCATTCTGCGATCTGTCCTCCTACGTGTGACTACTAGCCTATGCAACCAAAAGCAGCAAAATGAGAAATTATGATGGCTATTGAACACTACTCACAAATTCACAGTGTCGCATCCGATGTCAATTAGCGTGCCTGTTTACATAATTGTTATACAAGGGGAAAATCTACAGTGTTAAACAGCCCTCAGATTCGCATTTCTGGATGGGCTTTGTTTTGTGGAGGGTTTAGCACACGTAGAATAAAATCCGTGGGAAACCTGCCTGGCACGAGATCTTTGACGGATTCATATTAGGAGAGGTTTTTTATGTGGTTTTACATCAAATTTTTCAAGCGAGTTTCTCTTTACACCTGGGTAAAAGCAAGCCTTTTGGGTGAATGTTCAGACTTGCTGATAGCTTAAATTTTGATTTGACTGAATGGACAGGCTGAGAAGGGAAATTTCAGAGAAGCATGAAAACATTTTGAAACTTTCAAAACAAAAATGTCTCAAGCCTTTCCTATGAAGTCTCTTCTACTGCGATACCCTTTAATTGCTGCCTTGCATAAAAACAAAAGAGGTCAACGTTGAAATAAAACTCTGAAACCAATGTTAAATGTTAAATTGGCTTTTCATGGTTATGTTCATCTTTTTAATATTTTTTTTTTTGTTCTTTTTCTTTTTAATCGGAAAAAGTCCAGAATTTCATTTTTGGTTCAGCTGATGATCAATTTTTCTTCTATATTTCAGGATGTCTGCAATAACACGCCAAATCCTCTACTTATCTCCCATTGTGCTGACTTCTGTAAAAAATGTAGCCCTTCAAGCTACAAAATGATACAGGAAAAATCAGAGAACACACAATAAAGTCTATAAAATTATGAGCAGTATAGGGAAAGCAAATAGAAAAGAATTAGTCATTATTTCTCACAGCATAAGAACTAGGGTGCACCCAATTACAAGGCAGCAGGTTTAAAATAGCCCATAAGAAACACTTTTACAAAGAATAACTAAATTATGCAACTTGCTGCACAGCATGTTGCAAAGGCCAGGAATATAAATGGATTTGAAACACGATTAGACAAATTCGCAGTAGAGGTCTGTGGAGGACTGCCGAGCACCACGATCTGGTGCTGCCTCGACGCTGGAAGGACTGAAGACGCTGCCTGGTGTGGGTTGGGCACCTTCCCTCTCCATGCCCCGTGTCCTGACAGCACCCTGGCCACGCAATCACGCCCGGACGGCGACATTACCCTTGCCAAGAGCCACCCACGATGCGATACCGCAGGGACCACGGGTTCCTCGGGGACCTCCTTGGCTGGCTGGCTCTGGTGGCAGACCCTAAGGGGAGCAGCAAGGAGGGCTCCTGGCTGGAGCAGTACCTCCAAAGCCCCGAGGTAATCATACCTCTGCCAAAGGCACGTGAGCCCTTGATCCAGACCACACATGCAGCAAAAACAATAGTGCTGATGAGTGATTAGGTTGCTTTGTCTGTGAAGTGCTCATACCAAGGTGCACTTGTGTATCTGGTATGCAACAGTGCTGTATATTAAGGTCTTTATATATTTGTCACTTAAGGATACTTAATTGTAGGGTAAGCACAAAACAAGAAAATTCAAAGAGGGCCACAGGCAGATCTGAAAACAGTGACAAGAAGTGCCCTGTTCAGCTGCAGGAACGGGGTTGAGACATCAAGATGGGCACATGAATGTGCCGGGATTGAGCTGTCTTTAACCCCTGGCAAAGACCGGAGCAGAAATTTTCAACCATTTTTTGTTTTATAGACCCCTAACACTTCCGGTGGAGACACGATTGCCTGTAGTAGGGAATTAAAGCCTCCTGACATAAGGCTTTTTTGGTTGTCTTTCAGGCACCCTTTAGAGAAGTGGCTCAGAGATGCTCTGGGAGATGTGGCCCACAGCTGGAAACCTACAGGCACAGGAGTGAGCAAAGAGATGGGGACAGAGACAGGGAGTGTCTGAGTTTGGGGTTTAGCTATACCACCCACCATTCCATTTCCTATCTAACCGTGGTAAAAAATAATAGAAAAGACCTTCATTTTCCTTCACAGTTTTAAGGTTAACAAGGACTATTAGATCATCTCTTCTGACCTTTTACATCCAGAGGCCATCAGATTTCCTCCAGTTTATGAGTACCTCCATAAAATCACAGCCTAGATTAAGTTCAATCATCAGTGAGGGAAATAAACCCACTCCAGTCAGAAACGGATTTGTCTGAGGTTCAGTATGTGCCGCCATGGGCACTCTCATTATTCACATCCTTTCTAATTACTCTACTATTTTCCCTTCATATCCACAAACACGTTGTTAAAATACCGGGAATATTTAAATGACAGTGGTATCCCCATTTTGGTCACACTCTGTGACCACGGTAAAAAGGGTCCCCAATGGGAAGACTTGGACGGTCTAACCAGGCAAGGAAAAAAAAAAAGAAGAAAAAAAAAAAAAAAAAAGGAGAAATCATCATTCTCCCGATCTCACATAAGCCCAAAGAGATTAAACGATTAGTCAAAAGTCACCCAAAAGTCGGTGGCAGAGACGGAGCTGAAATCTACTTTCTCAAGTCAAATCCAGAGTTTTAATCACCCGAACACCCTTCCTCTCCCTTCATTGCTTTCATTTATCATTTCAGGCTAGGCAGACTACATCGAAATGATGGCTTTGTGAAGCATAGAAACACAGTTTTACGGGCAATAAACAATAAATATGAACCTGAGAGACATCTCCACGAAACCTCCCTTCCAAAAACGAGTCCATTTTCTTTTCTTCTTCTTCTTTTTTTTTTTTTTTCCTAGAAGATGGCAAAAGCCTTCCCTTCCCCTCCCGCCCGCACCCCTCCGCCGGGCTCCGCCAGCTCCCCGGCACAGCACGTTGGCTGTGGGATGGCACCGAGCGCTCCCTCTCCCTGCCAAGATGACAAAGTCCTGGCTGGCTCAGCCGCCGCCTCTGCCAGTGTACCAGAGAATCGGTTGTGCGATTTCATTTAAGCGCTGCTAACTAATTATTAACTGTAGGCTCAGCATTCAGGGTGCAGACAATGGGATCAGCCAGGCACCGCTCCACTGGCGGGGGGGCACCACCGTCAGCACGGGTTTCTTTTTAATTATTGTGCAGCGGAATCAGTCCTGGAGAAGCGAATTGAAAAGTATACAAAATTCTGATTAATAACCAGGGCGGCTTTTTTTCAGTTTTTCTCCAAGTTCCCGCCCACAGGACCCCAACTGTCTTTTCAGCTGTAGTACCAAAACCCGCATGCACTTTAAAAACTGGGATAAATCATTTTGCCTTACAGGACTGCTCCACGGCAATGAATTTTGCAGAGCTGAGCCCTAAACCTGCCTCTGAATCCAGCCTTCTGTGTACCCTGTGTGTGGACCCAGATTTGAACTCCGAGGATGACTCCTGCATGGTCTTGTTTTCTGGCACCTCCAGACAGGACATAAACCACTTGACAGGTTGGAGAGGCTCTGCTCTGGACCGAGGCCCAGATTTTACCATCTCAGGCCTTTGCTTGACGCTAGGCTTTGCTTTGTGTAAAGGCTGAGCCCATAAGGTATCTGTGCTGTCTCCTCTCCCAAGGAGAGCTATGCATCCCCAAAGATGGGAAATCTTTGTGATTTAGAAGCTAAAAGGGTGGTTTAGGACTTGCTGCTTGTATTAACAAGTCTGTCTTGTTGAGATAATTGTGGTTGCACTTCTGTTAATGTCCAGTGGGGCAATTCAGGACTTTCTGCCCGCTTCCCAACTGCACTGAGTAAGGGAGGCCACTCTGCCATCAATGACCTAGCCCTGCTTACAGTTCCATCCCTGAGAATTTGACTCTCTTTCCCTCTGGGGTTAGTGGTGGTTGTCTGGAGGTGTCACTCCTGCTACTGAAGGCTGCATTTGAAACCACACGTGTACTGGGGAGGCTGTAGAAATCTTTCTTTTCATACGGGTTCAGCTAACGGCCAGTTTTCACCATGAATCCAAGGAAAATAATAATCATTTGTCCGGGAAGCATCAACTTCTATATCCTCTAGCGTTGGAGTCACACTGGCTCTGTTACCTTTAAACTGCCAAACTACAGACCAGGTCAGGTTCACTGTGAAAGAGGTTGCAGCCTCGTTCAGAAATTGGGAGCAACTCCAACCCTTAGCTTGACTTCGCAAGGTGTTTCTTCATCTCTGCAGCCTGTTAATTAACATGTTCGCATCACAGAAAAAAAGCCAAGTGGCATTTTTATTCAAAATAATAGGAGAAAAAAAGCTTCCGGGTCTTCTGATAGAAGTGCTCCATCCTGGGAAAGCTTTGCTCCATGTAAGGGAATTCACGAGGCTGCTGTATCGCACAGAGCGAGCATGTGTTAGGGTCTGAAAGTGAACCCAGCCCTTTGGCGTGGCAGCCCATGCCGTACCTGCAATGAAACCTCTCCTGTAAATGGAGACATCAGAAGGAGACGACATTCCCCAGGGGCAGGGGAAATGTTATGTGAATCATGCCTGGCTCTGCTCAGGAAACATCTCTCTTAGTTCTGAGTGAAATTCTATACCAAAGACATATATTGTTAAATTAATACTTTTCGTCCTTTCCACTTCCAATACCTTGGTAGTGCTTTTTCTCTGAGCACTTATTAAAAAGGAGGAAGATATAGCCTTGCACGTGGCTAATAATTCTTCCCCAATATTTCTCAATTTACCCACGCAACACTCCATCTTCTTCTTCCTCAAGCCTTCCGATTTCGAGTCGTGATGCATTCAACCCGGCGTCCTGGCGCTGCTGCTGCTCAGGCTTGCTGCTGCATGGGTCGGTGTGCAGCAGGGACCCCAGTGCATGCCTGCTGCCTCCCACGCCTCGCCAAGGTGCTGGGAGGAGGAAAGAGTCCTCGGAAAGGTGGGTAGGAGGCAGCGAGTCATTCTCGGGTCGTACCAGCTCTTACAGCGCCATCCCTCAGCCTCAGCGTGGTGGGGTGTTGTGGGACGCCGTGTTTGACTCTCAACAAACTGCGTTGCCAGGACGACGTTTATTATGATCCATAATGCGAATAAAGGATGAAACTGTACACGGCGCGCTGATTTGCTATAACTGTCATCCGCGATGATAGCCTCTAGTTTATACCTCAAATGAATTTTGCATGGATGGTGCCGATGCTACCAAGAGCTGCAGAGGTGTATTTCACAGAGCTGCCTGGGCCTGGCACGAAGATCATGCCACTTTAAACAGCGAATCTGTTATTGTGATGTTTGTGAGAGGAGAACAAGTGGGAAAGTCACTTTCAAGTGCAGCTCAGTGCTCTTTTAATGAGGAATGGGGTCTTCTTCAGAGTCAGCCAACTACTGAGGAGGAGCTGACACCCTTAGTAGTCAACATCCTCAAAACAGCTGACAGCTCCAGATAAATCAGTTTGTGTACTTCCTCCCCTTCTCATATCACCTGCAGTGACAGGAAAGCACTAATTTCCTTTGAGAGGGAGAGAGATGGATGCAGGCGTGCATCCTGGGCTTGTTGATCCTTCAGTGTAAAATTAACAAAAACAGAGGCCGGGGAGAACTGGGAATAGGCACGGCACTTTGTCAAGAGGAAGGGTTTGCCGTGGTACGGCCCCAGATTCATCATATGGTAATTTACAAATATGCATACGACAGAGTCACATTGCATTAGCCCCTGCAAGAAGCAGCTATGACAAATACGGGGCGTTCGGCGAGCCGACTGCCTGGCTCCCAGCTGGAGCTCTGCCCCACGCAGCACGGGCAGGGCAGCACCCCACGAGCTCCGCTGCCCGCAGAGGGGACCCCGGGAGCTCCCAGACACCGTCCTCTCCAGCAGGGCTGCCCCCGTACTGAAAAGCTGCGATTGCAAATCGTGGTCCCAGTCCCAAACCTGAACAATCAAGTGCCTTAAGGACCCTGGGACGCACAGCACCCTCGCTTGCTCATCCGCTGCCCAGGGCGATCAATAGGGAGCTGAGCAGCGAGCGCACCCGCTCACACAGACAGTCCTCACCACGCACTTCCCGAATTCATTACTCTGACACTGTCACATGGCTAAATGATGTTATAAAAATTAGATACTGCAGGCCATTACAAGCAGCGCACACTCTGCTCAGAACCCTACTGAAGAAACCCGCCAGACAAAACCATGGTGAAATTTCTGCCCAGCAGCCAGGGCAGCTCCCAGCTCCCCCCGCCAGCAGCCCCAGGCAGCAGTTTTGGCAGAGCTGCTCTCCCTTCCTTTTGTACCGTCACTTCTGAGGGTCGGCTCGCTCCAGCGTGCTCACCGACCGTCACCTTCCCAGACACAGGCTCTGACATGAGGCGAACTGAAAGCAGGCAGAAAGGAAAGCAAGGCACCCAAGCTGTTTAAACAGAGATCTGAACTGCTCCCAGCGACCCTGTCCCAGGGAGGATCTTGCCCAAAACCAGACACGCGCTGTCCAGGGCTGAAGACAGGCTGTGTCCCCAGCCTCTGCTTGATGCACACTATATTTCAGCAGCATTTAAGAGTCCGTCTCCTGCACAAGGACCTTTCAGTGAAACTAAGAAAAGAAAAAAAAGCTCTAAAAATATACATGAGAATCTGAATAATCATGTCTCTAACTCCTGTTTTCCTAAGCTGACTATAACTGCGGTGGTGCTGTGATGCATCAGGTTACGTTAGTTAAGTCACCAATGATTTCATCATATATATAGATATTATTTCATATATATATATACAAAGGGATACGATTGACGTGATCAAAGGAGACAATCACAGCAATGACATGTTGGAGCAAGAAACCTAAAAGGAGGAATTTGCCTTACAACCTTTTAAAAACAATTATGAATTCACATTTTAAATAACTGTGTGTATCTATATACGCATACATAAAACTATAAATACATCTAGACATGCATGCATGTGTGCACACACACACATGTATAATTACATACACATGCTCCTGTGGTTTTCTGCCTAAACTAGCGCCATGTGGTGTACGTTATCCCAGGGCCCAGAGCAGAGAGGCTGAAACCCACCTCTGGGCGCAGGGGGGGGGGTCAGGCAGCTTCTCCCGGAGCAGAAGCCCAGCGAGCTGCCCCACGCAGGGACCCCGTGCCCACGGGCTGAGCACAGGAAAGCCGAGCAGCGCAGAGCCATGCGGAACAAACGAGGCCATCTCAGGGGAAGAAAGCCAGCAGTGCTGTTCCCCATCTTCTGCTGCGTGCCAGGCTCTTGGGAGCTCACAGCCTTCGCAGGCTCCCCGGCTGCAGAGCACGTGCAGGACGCACCCCACGCAGCCCCAGGGGCTGCCCCATGCTCTGCCAGTGGCCATACCCGCCTGGGGGACGCAGAATTACATGCTTCTGGGCAGATGTCCTCGCTTTTGGTACAGTTTCAGACTAAGCTGGGCGGGTTTTTTCTTACACTGTTGAGTATTTCAGGGGAAAAGCTCTTTTGTGTGTAAATAACTGTTAGGTGCCTTTTTTTAAAAAAAAAAAAAAAAAAAAAAAAAAAGCAGAGAAAATTCATAAAAAAAGCAGACAGAATTCATTTATATGAAAAATAGAGGGATTAAACATAGCCAATAAATTACAATAAACTGTCCACAGCGAACAATGCCACCAGATGACCATAATGGAGATCCAGTGCTCTTGTGCTTTTATTAAAAGAACAAAGCACTGCAATTAAATGTAAAATCCGGTAATATGTCATCGTACCTTAAGCATCCTTTTCTCATTCATTGAACACTGTCCTCTGATTTAATTGAAGCCTCTGGTCCCTTTGAGACAGCAATAGTCCTTACTCTAGGCCAAGTTTAGCATTTCATTATTTAGTAATCTGAGATGGAGTCATGCTATTGACTCTCAAGCAATCCTCTTTGCTTCTTATAACAAAAAGGATGCCCACAGAAATAATTGATACCACATTCTACTCTCTAGTAAATCGTCCCTTAGTGGATTGTGAAAAGAGGTTTTTGATTTAGACTTAAGAATAACAAAAGTTGGGTATATTTTTCACTGATGACCCCCATATGACATGTCCATAACCCCTTTCACAGCAGGAATGTTGGCCTAAAGGCATTTTAGCAGCTAAAATGAGTGACTAGAGGCTTTCCAGGTTTTGTTATATATATTCCATATATAAGTGATGCCTTCATACAGGAAAGCCATTTCTTTCTATAGAACAACTCGCTGCAGCCCTGATGCGGCCAAGAGCCGACACTCTCCTGGCTGGTATCAGGCAGCCATCAGTGCTTAGCACCTCATAAAGGCAATCAGCAACTTGCAGATTCATTACGGTTTTGCACGCTGGAAATGGGCTGAAGCCGTGTGGGGCATTTGCTTTCCTACATGAAACAAGCCAGGCGAGTCCGGCACCGGCTCCAGGGCTGAGGCCATGAGATCAAGAACAGCGTTAACCTGTTTCCCAGCCCCAAAACACCCTGACTTTGGCCAGAGAGCCCCTGCCAGTCCCTGGCCGCTGGCACTGAGCTGAGCCCACCTGCTTTTCCTACTGGAAAAAAGGTGCTGCTCTGTAGGATGGCTTCAAGGCCCAGGAAGGTGGCAATCCCCTAACTCCTCTTGCTTAATGTGCAAGAGAGAAGTAGGCAGTGGTGGTGCTTTGTTCCAGGCTCCTTGCTGTGACTATGAAATGACCAGCACTAATAATGAATGCGGGCGCATGAAGTTAGTGATCCCGCACACCAAGGGGAAGCCTGCCTGGTCCACTCATTTGCGTTCAGCTCTCTGGTTCTGGCACTGGGAAAATGTAAAGTTGGTTAGCACACAGACGAGACATAGAGATAAGGATGCATCCGGGATTAGGACCTCAGCCCTCCCATGCATGACAAGAATCAAAAAGGAAAGCCTACCCTGCCGCCTGCTTGCTTCCACACTCTGGCACCTCTTGTTCCTCAGAGCACTGAAAAATGTGAGTTCTCACCAACTTTGGCAAACCAATGCCTATTAATCAAAAATGGCTGTTTCCTCTGGAAATCTGCACCATTGCTCCCAGGTGATGCAAGTGCAGAGCTAAGCTGGGGGCAGATGATAATAAACGCAAGAAACCTGCAGTTACCACTCACACTAATGGGAATTACACAGGTGGATGGGGGAAGAGTCCCCTCGTGGGGCTGCATCGCATAGCCCTGACCTCCGCCCACGAGCCTGCACTCCAGCTCAGCTGCATACAGTTCTGTAATCTATTTGCCACGTTAAATATTTCAAATTTTAAAATGTCAGGGTCAGAGCCAAAACAAAGTATTATAAGGGATAAGATTTTAATTCATCCAGTCCTGCGGGAGACATGGGGAAGGAGGAGAAATTCATGCCAATTATTTTGCGTTTTGGGAGAGTTATTTGACTGTAGGGCCAACCCCTACCAGAGCAGTTTTCTGCGAGTTTTGTTTTGTTTGTTTGTTCCTCTTCTCCCAGTACTCAAATTATCTCCAGGTCCTTAGATCCATTAGACTAATTAATATTAAGAACATATGCATATGCAAATGAGGCCATGGTGCCCATATATTTCACTTTACATGACAGCTTGAAGTGTAGTTGTGTGAGTCAATCAAATGCTATAAATTTGCTATGCACAAGAGATCATTAATATTAATTGGGGCATGGGCACTGTGCAGTAGCCCATGCCACCATTAGAAATGGACCTCTCGCTTTAATTGTTCAGCAAATCCTTTTTTTTTTTTTTTTTTTTTTTTTTTTTTTAAATCAACGCCTATGTCCTGATTAAAATATGTATTTTTTTTTCCCAGGTAGTCTTCAGAACAGTATCCGAATTGTATTAAAAAATACAGAGCAGACCTTTTCTAAGACAGATGGCACACAATGAGGTTAAAAAAAGTATCTTGAGATCCAACCAGCAAGAACAAAAAAAAAAAT